ATACGTATATATATACGTATATGTGTATATATATATGTATATATGTATATATACGTATATATATATACATATATGTATATATACATATATGTATGTATATGTATATATATGTATATACATATATGTATGTATGTATGTATGTGTATGTATATGTATGTATGTATGTATGCATGTATGTATATGTATGTATGTATGTATGTATGTATGTATATACATGTATGTATGTATATACATATATATACGTATATGTATGTATGTGTATGTATGTGTATGTATATGTATGTATATGTATATGTACGTATATATACACTTCTAAAAGTCGTGTATCATGCATAGGAACGTTGACGCCTGCAAGGCTCTGGTTTCTGAATGACTTTACATAATATCTTTCAGTGAATTGGTGAAAATATTAATTTGTAATATAAACCGCATGGGTAAAATGTCTGTCCGTATTGCACTTGAGTGTATGTAATGTTTTTCATGCTTCAAATTTGCAACATTTTTACCATTCACATTGAATTCCTTGAGCATTTTTAGAAGTAGATGTATAGTAGAATTTTTGTTAACATTTTTAATTAAAGCTACTAATTAAAATATTGTTATAGACAAATATATCTGTTATGGATGGTGGACATGTTACTGTAGGTTTATTTTTTTAAATTTATTTTCTCTAAATCGGCTGTGCTCATCTGCACAATTATGAACGAGCGACCAAACAAGGGCAACGGTAGGCCCAAAAGAGCGGAGAGGCCTAGGCCCAATATCCCCCTCCCCCACAAAATAATTACAAAACGAATTCGTCACTCCATGTGTTTGTTGATATTTTTAGCTTGTAGGCCTAGGACAAATTTTTTTGAAAGTTCGCGCCTAATACGATTTAGTCTTTGCAGTGATTGACCTGAAGGTCACATTTCACCTGATAATCGCATTTTTTGTGTTGCAGCTAAAAGGTACACAGCCAAAATCTGTTATTTGCTGTTGGAACACGCTATCCATTGCGTGTTTTTGATCGATTTTTTTCAATGCCTTTTTTCAAACTCGTCCCGTTTCTACTGCCAGAATAAAAGCGATTTTTCGAAAAAGCGATTTTTAATCGATTATTTCTTTCCAGTAGAAACAGGCCCTTTGAAACAGCCAATTCTATCTTGTCCGTCCTAACGTTCACATTTTCGCTGTTCTACTTTTAGTAACAATATCAATCCACACAATTTTTTTTGTAAGATAGAGTGTATAAATATTGCATATAAAACATATAAGGAACCAGCTAAGAGTGGCATAAAACATTTTTGGAGAATTGAAATTAAAAGTCTTGGAAAAGCATCTGTCTGAACATAAGACCTATATTTGCAAAAGAGATAATAAAAGCCTATATAATGCTAATTCGAGTGGGCCCAGAAAAGTGTCCAGGTTAAAAATGCTATAGCATGTCTCAAAATAATGACCATGGAATCACAATTCGCAAGCTATTTTAAATCATGTGAATAAGACAAATGTAGGTCTATTGCGAAGATGATATATTGTTCAAAATTTAATTTCTTATCAGTGGCATAACTAGATGGAACACAAACAAATTAAGTATTATACAATGAATAACAGTGAATTGTATGTACACAACGTTCAGTGTATTTTGAAATATAAATATATGCAAGTAAATAAAACATGTGTTATGAATACACTGGAATCAATATACATGCATTATATTTGGAAATAGGCCTACAAATTAGTAAATACTGTAGAATTTACAGTGGCCTAAAGCATTTATAAATAATTTATTACGCTCTACATAAAGTTTACTATTACTTTAATTCTTAACATTTTTTTAATTAATTGCTGTGTTTGCTTCTGCTAGGCCTTATACCGTCCTACACTTAAATTTTAGTCAATTCTTGGTTCGATTATTGCAGACAGGCCATTTAAGGTATACTTCCATGGCAGATCTACCAGGTGATGATGACATAGGCCTACCTATAATAAAGCTAGTTTTAAGGGCAATTAGTTAATTTTACAGGGGTCCAGAGCTCCTACCGTGGAAACTTGGTTTACCTGGGTGTAAAAAAAAAAAATTAACTATGAGAAATGATTTACAGTTTATCGCTTCACGTCTTACCTCGTTCTGATCTTGTCTTGTTGTTTAAGATGCTCAAGAAGAGGGCTAATCACATTGATTTCTGTTTAACGTGTGTGTGTCAAATACTTGTGTTGTATTGGCATACCGTAGAGTGCGAGATAAATTGAAATGAAAGCCTCAATAGACTACTTGTTTAAGGCATCATCATAGATGGCAAAAGGACTTTTTTCAATTAATGACCACTTTGGGGACCATGGTTTCTAAGGTCTTTCAAAGCACCTTGAGTTTCTATATAGAATAATAAGGATAAAAGACATCTGCAAGTTTTGGACGACAGAAAAGTAGTATTTAACTGGAGGTGGTCTTTAATTAGAGAGAGAGACCTGTAATTTATAATTATAGATGCTTTAATGTTCTTTATTAGTATATTATCTTTGTACTTCTTCCTTCATATAGATTTTGTGGGATGCTATAAAATCCCAATTGATCCTGATCACCGACCAATAAATCCTGGTCAGTACAATACTGATACAGTCACCGTTACGAAGTGCATGGGCCTATGCAGAGATCATTTATCAAAGTAATTATTTATTATCAATTTATAGGTCTCCAATTAAAGACCAATTTTGGGACTGGGGTTTCAATGGTCTTTAGGGTAATTCCGTGTCAAATCAACCAGAGCTCCCAGGTCGTCCGTCTCCGATTTTTATGAAACTTCTTAAAAATGATCCACTATGTGAAAAATGAACATACACTAAAGATTAGCCCTACTGGATATGTAGTTTCTGAGATATTGACGCCCCAAAAAAGGGGCGTGGCTCTTCAAGATGCGCAAATGCAATTTCCTCCAACTTTGGAAGCTTATTTAAACCCGGGATTGGTAATAGCTATCAAGGTCAAACTTGGTATTCTAACTTATATTCCACCATATTACACAAATATGGCATCAGGTAATATATCTGTAGTTTAAAGATGTATAAACTCACTCATATGGACACAGGGTGACATTGAAAATCACAAAAAAACTGCGTCGTTAAACAAAGTGGCTATTTTGAGTGCAGAAAACTTAAAAAAAGAAGGAATAACAGTTAATCTGATGCCATATTTGTGTAATATGGTGGAATATAAGTTAGAATACCAAGTTTGACCTTGATAGCTATTACCAATCCCGGGTTTAAATAAGCTTCCAAAGTTGGAGGAAATTGCATTTGCGCATCTTGAAGGGCCACGCCCCTTTTTTGAGGAGTCAATATCTCAGAAACTACAAAACCTATAACACTAATTTTTTTTAAGTGTTGGTTTTTCACATGCATCATTTTTATGGAGTTTCATCAAAATCTGAGAGGGTGATACTGGAACTTTTTTTGAAATCTGGTTGATTTGACACGGAATGACCCTATAGCTTTGGTCACTATTAGATGATAATAATCTCAATATTCATGCTTTGATTTATTTTGGTATTCCTACAGACTGCTATAACTCTGGTTTTTATATGAATATTCATAGTACAATTATTAATATTAATAAGCAACATTATTTGTTAATTAATGTACACCATGAAAATGTTGACCAACATTGCTGATTAGTATCGGTATAATATTATGACCATTCACAATAATTAAATTTTGTAAGAAATTATAATCCAGTTGAGCTTTGATGAAAGTAAGGATATATTCTTTTACTTCCTAAGAAAACAAATAGGCAGATCTTTTGAACTAATTCCATGATAGTGGACCCTAGCGAACATAAGTTAACAAAAAACACAACACATTTTAAGAAAAGAACTAAGGATTTAATTGTATGTTTTGGGTGTTACTCATTTTGAATATTATATATTTTGAATATTAGATTATTTAGTATTGTCAAAAACTATTCAGAATGACATGTTGAATATTAACAAGTTAAGTGATTTTCCCTGACAAGGTACACTTTGCTAAATGCTGGTGAAATCTGCCTATGTGATAACAGTCTTCAGGTCAATGGCAGCGTCACAAACACTGTTTGTGACGCCATGTGCCCTAAATCATGCGGGAGCAAAGACCACTACTCTGTGTATAGTACCCGTTCAAAGCTTGGAAACGTCAACATTTATCGCAGAACACTTGGTAAGTTTTTGACTCTATCTACTTGTTTTCATCACCCTTATTATCCTCATAATCACCATCATATTTTCATGCTGCGTGAGTTCTATAAGTATCTAGCAGAATCTGCATTTTTGAAAAAAAAACAAAATGTATTAGAACAGAATTTGTTGAATTGTTTTCATTATTTTCACAAGTGTAAAAAACATAGGGGTTGTGATGGCATATATCTCTTTTAAGAAAAAGATGATCGCACAATGACAAAACCATCATTTTCTGGTTGTACTCTTTCAGGGGGGAGATCGGTCATCGAAAAGAGTTTGTTTTGTACTCTTGTGAAAGTGATGAAACCAATAGTAAATTCTTGCTGAGCCACAGGGCTTGTAAAGCTGGAGTTTATCCCCAGTTTCTGTGGTGTGAAGCAGATGAAAGGGTAATATACTCCCCCTGGATGTGATGCTATAGTCCACTGCAGGTTACTCCCAGCAATTAGCTGGAACCCATTGATACAGCTTGAGTAGACTGAATTAATGTAGATAAAGTAGCTTGCTCAGAAGGAAAAGCGGAATGCACAGCGAGGGATCATCATTGAAATCTGACCTCAAGGTTGGGAAACCAAATCATTTCCGCTGTTGCAAAGTGCTTCAACAAATTAAATTATTTAGTTTGTTGAATAAAAATAAATCCAACAGGATTCCTTGAATTCGACATGGCACTTTCTTTTTGTGTGTATTGATCATTTTATCTTTGCATTTAAAATCACCAACTTTTCAGGATTGAAACAGCTGTCATACGATGATTATGTTTCCGTGCCAACATTGAAAGATGTAACATTCTCCATAAACTTTACGGGAACTGAAAATATTACACTGTCACTAGATTTTGGAGACGACTCTCCAATAGATAATGTGCAAAAGGGAACACCAAGCAACTTTGTACACTTATTTATGTGAGTACCACCTGTTTCTTTAACATCAGTTTTATATTTTTCATGTTCTAATTTAGATTACCCGTACATTTGAAATAATATATTATTTGCTGGCGTTAGGAACCTCTTAATTAACAGTTCTAATTCTTAACTTTGCGACCATTTATGTCTCCATGATTTTATTGTTTTAATTTGCTATCGTAATTTTAAATTTCTATAAATAATTTTGTAAAAATTTGTCTGGTGTATATTTACTTATTATGTAATTTTAAATTTTGTATAATATTTTTTTTCAAAATAAGTTTTAACCTGTTTTTATTTTTGGGAGAGTCTCTCGGTATTAATGAAGTTTGCTTTTAGGTATAGTACTCACAAGTTTGTTTTGCATTCTTTTTCTTGTATATTGCCTGGAAATAATAAATGAAATGAACAAAAAAAAAATAAATGAAATAATACTTGTTTTTTTTTCAGTATTATTGGATAACTGTTCATGAATTTCACTTTACTAATAGTGTTTGGCAACCCTCTAAAATATTTTGTTGACCATTTTCTTTGTAGCGACGCATGTTTGTATACCAGGGTATTATACTTTTGACGGATCCCTGTTCAACGCACAAGGGTGCATCCCCATACTGCAATCCTGGCTTTGCGAAATGTAATTTTTACCACCAAAGGAGGTTACAACCTACTGTATATGTTTTTTTACCGCTATTTTGTCCTGTCTGTTAGCAAGATTATGCAAAAACTAAGAAATGGATCATCATAAAATTTAGTGAAATGGTACATAATAATCTGAGGAAGTGATGATTAAATTTTAGGAGGAAAATGTCACTAAAATTCAATTTTTTTTTACCCTTGAGCATAAAATATATAATAATGGAATTGCCCATCATACACAGCCTGTGTATTGTTCGGTATTCAGGCACAGGGTGGAGGTATGCGCTCTATTGTCTGACTGGTCTAGTTCCTAACTGTTTTGCTCCATAGTAACCACTCCCTGGTTGCAGCACAAGTTTACCGTATATACTCGCATATAAGATGAGGTTTAAAATAGCAAATTATGATCGAAAAACAAGGGGTCGTTTTATACTCGTAACATACAAATTTTAGATTTTAAAAATCATCATTTCTTCGTTTGTGCGGATCATCCCTAACACATGAATTGACTACTGCAATGAAGCTACTAGAATGTTAGTAGGCCTATGAATAAATACAATTTTGAATAGGGGGAAATAAGATTTGATGAACATTTACATTTTCATAACGGTATTATTTGGAAGATTAGCCCTGCCTTTGGCTGCGTTTTTAGTCAGCTAGACGATAAAAAGCAACAAAAAGTATGAATTCCGGCAGTGAAACATGGAATCTTTATACGAATAACATACAAAAATTTTCCAAAAATCTTTTCAAACTCGGGTCGTCTTATAAGCAGGTCGCCTTGTATGTGAGTATATATGGTAAATATACAGTATACGATCACTTGTCATTTTTTTAAATTTTTTAAATTTTTAAAATAAATTAATCATCATTGTAATTGAGGTCTTTGTTTTTTTAATGAAATTATACCTGAACATACTAATTACAGGCATGTTATTAGTTGGAAAACTCTGAAAAAATGTTTGGCCGTGTTTGATTGCCACACTAGAAAATCAAGTAATTGACAAAATATTTTAATTACTGTAATTTCTCACAATCCGTATTGTGAAGCTTAAAGTCCATAGTTGGACTACGATCTAAAGATTGACAACCAAAAGTCTACACTTGTGTGACTTAAATTTGCTTAATGAATATTCTTTATTTATTTCATAAAAATAAAAATTATTTATCAATTTTTTCATTGATTTTACAGACGACCATCAACGTACCCAATTTTTGGAATTGCAAAGGATGGAGTTACAGAGGATGTGGATACTGAAGGAGGAGTTGAAATACGAAACATTGTTAATGCTGTGACACTGATTTCAAATGTATCCATTGTGTGTCCAAAAGTGGTTGGTGCAAATGATCTGTTTGAATGCTCAGTTAGGGTGATGCAGGGAACTTCAATGTTACTACAAGCAGACTACGAAGTTGGAAACATTACATTTGATCTTATTGGTAAGGTTAGGTTTGGAGATAGCATGGGTGTGAACTTTGATAAACAATAGGTGCCGGGTTCAATTCAAATGCCATTGGAAAGCTGAAATCCAAGTTACAGCCAAATCTTTGAGCCTGGCACACACATAAAAGTATTCATTAAATAATAATTATCAGTTTTCAATGATACACGTACAGATTGAATCAGTTTCACTTTTGCAGGGGATTTTGAGTTTTGGTGTGAAAACATCCATGAAGCTTAAGTACCACTATATTAAATTATTTTACTTAGTAGCTAAACTAAGTCAGCATAGCTTTAGTGAGTTTAAAACCATGTTTATCCTCTTTTCTCTTCACCAGATGCTGGCCACACAATCTATGGAAAAAGTGCTTCGATTACTCACGATGGAGTCACAGAACCAGACTCTATATACTTTTTTGAGCAAGTCATGTTTGAGGGCGTCCTTGTCAGCCTAGAGTTTGAAGTTGCTAGTAATGGCAGATTCACTTTGGAGGTAACAAATCATAACATTATACAGGTCTCCCTCTAATTAGAGACTATTTTTGGGACCTTGGTTTCAATGGTCTTCAGCGTCTTTGGTCTCTAATTAGAATAATAAAGATGAAATGCATTTGTAAATTAGGGACCTCAGAAAATTGTGTTTAATAGGAGGTGGTCTTTTCTAGCAGTGGAACCTTTCTTTGAGTATAGTCACACATGTGGGTTGATCACAATTGCTGCAGCTGTACTTCCTGATTTCCTTAATATTATGTTTACAAATTATTTGGTAATTATTCAAGCGTATGTTTATTTAGTTTTAATTTTTACATTTTTTAAATCTGATATTTTATAATTTAAGTTGTAATTTTAATATCTTGGAGCAAGGTCAACATCTGACACTTGGTTCCTGAATCCTGCAAGTGATGTTGATTCCACAGCATCTTTGGGTAGTGAGTTCCGCAGACAGATGGTGTCTGGAAATTCAATTGAATTGAAATCAATTCAATTCAGTTTATTGGTCATACTCATAAAATGTTTTGAAATTTGCTTTGCTTGTCACCGATTAAAATACAAATATGAAAAAGGGTAAAATATACACATACATGTTATACAAACAAATAGGAAAAACATATGGTAAAATTGAACATGTACAGAGTAAAATTACAGTAAAAAATACAAAGATTAAGCTGTAACAAAATTAGAACAACTGTAAAAGACTAAAAAGTAAAAGAGTTACTGAGAATAACAAAAATTGCATTCAAATTAATTCATGCATAGGTTCATTCATTCATTTCATCCATAATTCTGGTATGAGAAATATTCACCTGACATTATGTAGCCTCATGGCTAAAAAACATACCTTATTTTGGTTCTTGATTTAGCCTTTATTAGAGGGAGACCTGTAATTACAGTTTTATCCAAATTCTATTTTCTATATAAGTTAAACCTCCCACTATACTCTGCAGCTTGATGTCATCTACTGTACCTGTGTTTTCTTGAGTGTTTTGCGATTAAGTGGCTTGGCTGAACTTTATGAATTCTATCATAAAAAAAAATCCCAAAGATTGGCTTTGAATTTGGCTTGCAGTGTTGGACTTCTCGCTCTTTATTGGCATAGGATATGCTGTCAGACAATCATCATTTTTTTTAGTAAAAATTGGATTTATCTGGTATAAATCCACCCCAACAATCCTCCCAGTACCTAAGAAACTACGGTTAATTATAAAACATTGTTTCTTTATTCAGGTTTACCGACCTTCTGTGATAGATACTAAGAAAAATTGCATCACTAATGGAACTTACAATTTTAGAATGCGGCGCTGTCCAGACGATGACCCATGGCCTGATAATGTTAGTGTTAAACTCATAAAAAATGTCACGTTCATTGCTGAATCATCTGGAATGTACTATCTCATTCTGGATGAGGAAGAATACTTGTACATCTCCAAAGGTGACATGCTCGCGGTTTCTAGTACTGATGGAAAAATTCACAGAACATCAAATACAAGCCACCAAGAATACATCTCAAATAAAATGTCCCTGCAGTTAAAATTAGACCGATTCAACACGCTGATTCAGGCGACGATTGTAACGCCATCGAGAGCCAAGTTGCAAATGAAGTTGCCAGACCCTATCGATGCTACAGGAGACGATGTGGATCGTATTATTTTTGTAGAAGTTAAGAATGCACTCAGCTCTGTGAATGTAAGCAGTAGTAGTGTGCGTGTCCAGTCATTTGTTAATGGGATAGAAATCATTGCAGACAGCTACAGTAAGTTCCCTGATATTATTTTCCATTAGCTTTTTAGTTCTTTTTAATTTAATCCCTCGACCAACTTTAACTTTCATAAATTTTAGGCATTCAGTTGACCTCCTCACTGTTGATATTGTTTCATTATACAATTTTATACAAACTATTGTGAAACAGTTGTGTTAACTGTACTTGTTGATAGTGGTACTGAGGCTACATATGTTGGGACTTTGGGAACGAGATGGAATGCTAGGTGTTTTGTATTAAGCCATGTTCATTTACTGGTATTGTTAAAGCCTTCATGACAAATTTGATTCACTTATTCATCTATCCCTGTTGGAAAAAAAAAAACATTGTGTCAGTTAAGCAGTTGTGGAACCATGCTTTGCCCAATGTAGAAGTGGAAGTACCTGACGGGCTGGGGAGGGGGTCCTAGCATGTGAAGCTAGTATGATTAAGATGCAGTAGGACGGAAAGTCATCCATTGTTCACGGTAGGGTTAATGGCAATAAACCCTAGGTGTGATCCTGGTGGTGCTATAACAGTTTCCACTATTAATACTAATACACTATTAAAGCGCCTAAATCAGTTTATTTTTATTAAACTTTATTTACAGAGGTAACCCAAAACAGTGGTTAGCTGACAATCATGTGCCCTTGCGTATAAGAAACAACAAAATACAATATCAACGGCACGGGAAAGTTAACAAATATAAGACCTATATAAAACAATTTATAATGTTTACGAAGTTAACAAAGTTTACAAAGTTAACAAATATAAGACCTAGGCCTATATAAAACAATTCTTTTTATTTGAATATTAAAATTTAATGAAAATCAAAGTGACGAGAAACTAATATATTTTTTTACTTGAACTAATGTAGTGGTTTGAGTGTATGTACAGTAATTGTATATATTACTTCTGTTTATTTTTTGATAGAAACAACTAACGAAACAGTTGTGTTAAGTTTATCTGAGCATAATGGTACCGAGGTTACTTACGAGTGGGACTTTGGGAACGGTGACAGAATGCTAGGTGCTGAGTATAAAACCGTGGAGTATTCATGGTCACTTGCTGGTATTTACAGTGTTAAAGTTAAAGCCTTCAATAACATTAGCGAGGATACAGATATTGTAAGTGTTTTATTTTACTTAGGATTTCTGATAGATATTAAGAGAATTTTTTTTTTTTTAATCTACTTGTACTGTATTTCATTACGATGATATGGAGAAAATCTTGTTTGAACATTTACCCATTCCCTGTCCAGGCAAACATTATTGTTTCATTTCTGTATACTGCATTTACCAAGCATCATTATTATTATTATTATTATTATTATTATTATTATTATTGTTATTATTATATTATTATTATTATCTATTATTATTATTATTATTATTATTATTATTGTTATTATTATTATTATTACATAGCCTCCCCAAAGGAGAATAAGCTATTGTTTTTGCCTATTTTCTTCTTCATGTTTTCGTTGTTGGTCATGTGTTTGTTACCATGTTAACTATTGGTTTCAAACTTGGCAGAATGCAAGATGGTAATAAGAAGTCAGAGCCTATAGTTTTTGGTATGTGTGTGTAAATATGCTTGCTCATTTGCATAATTAATATTTTACTAATCAGGTAATTTAGGCTAGTTACCACAGTAACTAAAGTTTGGCAAGTCTGATTGTTTCAAACATGATGGAATGCAAGATGGTAAGATGACGGAGCCTATTGTCACCTCAAACTTCTTGGACTTTCCTGAGAATCTTTGCCATGTTTTATAGAGATCATACTTTTCTGAAGCTCATCTGTCTCTATATGAATGTATTCCAGTCTTTTATTTACTGTAATTCTTTTTGGAACTGTTCCAAATGTCCCAATTACTACATGAATGACCACTGTTTTTATTTTCCAGAATTTTCTCAGTGCTCTTGCTGGATCCCGATATTTTATCACTTTCTCTATTTCTTAATTCTTCTCAATGTGGCTATTGTATGATATTTCAAAATCTATGATTCGGCAAAATTTACTTTTCTTTTCAACTACAATCATGAATCTGGTCTTCTTGCCTGTACTACATGATCAGTCTTTATCGTAAAATCCCATAATACTTCACATTTGTCAATCTCTAGCACAGACTCAGGTACGTGTTTGCACCATTTGTGATTGGCAACAAAACCTTTCTCTTTTACAAACTTCCCAATGAATTTGCTTTCCCACCCAGTCATGCCTTCTTTTTTAGTACTTTTGTGCTAATTTTGGGCATTTGCACACAATATTATTGATATTTTCATCCATTCGCCTACACATTCGACATTTACTTACTTCTTGGAGTTTGTAAAAATATGATATTTTCTTTCATGCAATACTAGGATATTATTTTTATCATTGCCATCATCATTCTTATTATTTATTATCTATTTTATTATTTCACACAGACCCAATTTGTTCCTATTGTGTTTTAACCTATTAAAATTTAAAGACTTTGATAATCATTAACAGTGAACATTTCTGTTATCATTGAATAATATCCTTATTTAAGGTCTAGTAAACCAAAATATTGAAATAATCTACCTATGAATTTTATTTTTAATGACAATACAATTTATACACAATTAATTGTTAAAATTAACTACTTTTTAAATTACTTTCTATTTTACAGTTTATCATTACCATTGAGGATCCTGTTCATGATATTATAACGTTTTTGCCAACGTCACCACAGCCTAGGAAACCTGACCGTGATGTCGATGTTACAAACATCACCGAAGCAGCAATGATTAGGTGGAAAGTTCTTGAGGGTATGTTAATTACCTTAATAACAAACTGCCCCAAAACACAATAGTTGCAACAATTCATAATGCATTATACTAATCTCAAATTAAGCCACTCGATCTGCAAGGCCTTCTTGCGTTGCCAGACTTCCAAGTAGATTTCCAAGAGGATAACCACCAAGTACCAAGTAATATTTGATCTAGTTGGTGATTATGACACTTCCATCCAGTGGAAATGGAGGTGGGTTTGAAAGGTGAAGTTGAGAGGGGGGGGGGGTGCGTGGGTGGCTCGATAGTAAAGTGAAGATGTGCTAGCTAGCAAAATATATTGCTATGACTACTTGAGAGTAATATTTTGCTTCGAAAAATTTCCTGAAGGGTGGCTACATGGGTTAAGGGGGAAAGCTTTTTAAGGGGAGTTGTTGTACCCACTTCACTACAGTAGATCACTGCTTACTATAGGGTGTAGGCCTAACTTGCTTTTTAATAACTTGAGTTTTGATTTGTTAAAACCTGTCTTTTGGAGGGCTGTTTAGGTATGTGTTCTTGACAGAATAGGCAGACCTTCACCAATTTCGTGCCCAGTTTTGCAAATATGTTTGAGTTTCAAATATGATTAGCATATTTATAGTGTTATTTCTGTGAATTAAAAGGTGCTATGTTTAGAAATGACTCAGCTTATTTTAATATAATGATCCTAATTAATAAATATGATGATAAAAAATGATACTGATACTGACAATGATTACTGTATAATGATTGGTTTAATCTACAGGAACAAACTACTTTGTTTATGTGGAATTGGGTACAACAGAGAAAGGTCGCCTTTCTGCATCACCTAGGAGTTCCACAATGGAGGATGAAATGACAGTTGATGGGCTAACTTTACAGAATGTTGTTTTAATGAATGAAGGTAGGCATAACTCATTTCAATTGGATCACCAATGCTGTTGTATTGCTGCAACACTGTGGCATTTCCTGACATATTTCAACAACAATGTTTACAATATTTTATCTATTAAGTAGATATTCCAACATGGCGTAGTGCATTAAGACAAGACAGCAAGACTGCATGCTTAGTGTAGAGGAAGACAGCTCTAACAATCAACACTTGGAATTCAAATTGACTTTTTAGGTGCTTGTTTGACTCCATTGGCTGCTGTGTCTTTATCGGAAACCATAATAGATCTCAACAAACTCTGTACTGTACTTGGTATTGTAACTTCAGCTGAAGACTTTCGAGTATCTTACAGCAATGATAATCATCATTTCGTAGATGTTGCTGCAAACAGAGATGTAAGTACAGATCTCCTTTTTATGACATAATGGCAATTAACAGTTTTAAACAAAGTATTGAATGTATTTTATTATGAGATACTATTAATAAAGCAAAATTTCAACATAGGGCATAAGATGTTGATATAAAAGTTTATATGATCCATTTCTCTGAAGTAACCATCTTATCTTTATTGTGCTGGCCAATACAATAGATTGCTTATTTGACAGGTCTCTGTACATTAGCTCAACCCACCCTCGATAAACTAACATTACGTTATCTCACTATATTAATTGGATTAACACATTATCAAGGATAAGTACTGAGTGTTTAAGGCTATGTTCACACACACGGCGTAAGACTGGCGTGGCTTACGCCAGGCGTAAGCTAATCCACGGATTAAAGTTTTAAAGTGTTCACACAAACGGCGTTCGTTAAACTAGCAGTAATATAGGCCTATGTGGAATAGTTTTCAGTTTTAAATAATGTACGTGTTTACAGTAGTAAAATTAACTGTGCATCATGAAAACTTTTAAATCTGTGAATTGTTCGAAGTGAACTTATATGATTATTGTTTTTTAAATGAACAATTTTACTTTTGATTTTTCAGCTAGCATTGTTGATGTTGCATGTTTTAATAGACATTCTAAATGGTTAAAATATTTTACAAAACACAATAAATAAATCATATACATTATAACTAAGTAAAATGCAATAGAAAAGGAACCCCTTTACCCTTTTATTTATAGAGAGCACAGAAAAGAGACAAAAGTAGCTAATATATTTCAATCATGATTGGTCAATCTCTTGAAATGAGGTCAAATCATTCAAGCATCACTGGCGTTAGCTCAGTGGCGTTTGCTAATCTGGGGTCTGCAGGTAGCGTTAAAAACGCTGAGGACGTGTCGTAGTGAGTGGCTTTAACAACGCCACTGCCTAGTTCACACACAAAGGCGTACGCTACGCCAGGCTTAAGCCAGCCTTACGCCGTGTGTGTGAACATAGCCTAACACTGGTGTCCTTGGATTAAATTATGGGTAAACGGATTAGTTGCCTTTTTTATGAGGTTTTAATTGTTCTTTACAGCTGAAAGTGCAGTATTCTAATGTTAGTTTAAGGAGGGCTGGTCGGCCTAATGAATTAAAACCCTTTGTTCTTGATTATTGTAGATATAGTATGCATAGGTAAATAGGCCAATCATTTTATAGTTTTGTAAGTATCACTTATTTGCTCTCTGTCACCTTTATTTTTGATAAGATAGCCTATGTAAGATAAGATAAGATACACTTTATTGCTCCAAGTAGGAAATAATAATGATTCATGATGTTTTCTATTACCGTATATTCCGGTGTATAAGCCGCACCTGTGTATAAGCCGCCCCCAAATTAGGACGCGAATATCACGATTTTTTGTGTTACCTGTGTATAAGCCGCACCTGTTTTTAAGCTCTAAACCGTTCCCATAATGTTAAGTTTTTAATTATTTTGAAACATTGACATTATTTATAAATGTTTACATAAGGAAATTTCATCTTTTCGGCCGGTTATTAAACAACAAACAACTGGAAATGCGTGTAAACTGCTGGCTACCGCCATGTTAACAACGTATTCTTGCTCTAGGCAGCCAGCCCTAGGGAAATCCCCATTTTTTGCTAGACGGTCGTGCTATGTTAAATTTTCAACATCAGTTTAGTTTAGGTTTATTAAAATAAAACACTTATTGAGTATATTATCTATTTTAAACAATCATTCTATTATTATTATGTTGACTAATAACAGTCGGTATTAGGCTAAAAATATTGGTAATTCTAGGCCTAGTCATTACTACTCACAGCCCAATGTGCGAAGCATGGACCATCACGCAACATGAAAACTCATAACTGGAGAAATATCGTGGATACGGAGTTCACGCATGCCCATGATGTATGCCTTTTTACAGTTATAAATTCCAGTAAAATAATTATTACAACTTCAAGAAAACTCATGTTTTTATAGCATAAATTAATTTCACAAGTTTTTATTCTAAAATTATAGCGGTAATAATATTCTCTCTATAACGGTACCCGGGAACCAGACGTCGAACAGCAAGTTTTACCAGCCCACGTGTGTTTTGTTGCGACATCGAAAATGAGGCTGCTCACGTGACCTCGAGGACCCAATTAACTCATGAAAAGTAGTTTGTTATTGTTTTGAGCGAAGCGGTTTCGAACAGAAACAGCGTGTTTCAAAATTGTTTACGAGTGAACGTAATTATGAAAGTAATTATTTAGATAACCCAAATCATTGCTAATGTCGTAGAAAATGTAGTAGGAATCCTAGCACAGCACTGTAGTGAGTATAATTACAAATACTAGGCCTAAAAACCGGTCCTACCCTAGGCTAATTAATTGGGCTAGCATGTGCCTAACCTAGACAGACGGCGTCGGATTTTCGCCGTGGCTTGCGATCTGAACTTGGTTAATGACCGGTGTAAAGGCCGCACCCCAAACTTCGGGGGGAAAATCGCGTATAAAATTTGCGGCTTATACACTGGAATATACGGTATTCTCGCTGATGAAGGCCACAGGAGTGGCAGAAATGTCCGAGTTACTAATAAATTTTAAAGTCTACTATTGAAGCTGTTTCATTTTTTCTCTGTTCTGTCGGAATACAAATTTTCCTTATTCTTAATCCTTTTTAGTAATTCATATGAATATTATCATTATTATTATTATCATTATTATTATTATTATTATTATTATTATTATTATTACTATTACTATTATTATTGTTATTACTATTATTTTCATTATTATTATATTACCTATTAGTTTTTTATTTTAACGTATAGACCTATAGACTTATATATTTTCTATCACATCTGTATTTTTTTTATTGCCTATTTTTGTTTAGTATGCCTTTTTATTCAGTCATTATATAGGCATATATATTTCTGGATTTCTATTTATCAAATAAGAGTTTTGTATCCCCACCTTTCTGGCTCTTTGTTATTTAATTTGGCTGCTTGTTAACATGTTTTTGCTTATTTGCTATTTATCATGTTGAAGGGGGTTTAATCTAAGCGGTTCTTTTATTCTATGTCATTGTTTATTTCCATCATTGTTATTACTGACTGAGATCTGTATTCCCACACTGATATTAGCCTCATTATTATTACAGTGACCAATTAATTTATCTGTTAATTATTTCTATTGTTACTCCGCTCCTTAGTTTTTTTGTCCAATCACCATGTTCATTATATTCTATTAAAATGTCAACCAATCATATTATACTTTACTTTTTATCATAATTATTGTAATAGCCAACTTATATTTTGTTTGTCACACATGCTGAAGAAGACCCGATGACGGGTTGAAATATTCATGTTTTGAATAAAATTTGTGTTCATTAAGTTATGTATCTAAGGAACACACGTGGATTTCCTGTCTCTTATACACATCTAGATGTGTATAAGAGACAGTACGCCGTGTGTGTGAACATAGCCTAATGTTACGTTATCTCACTATATTAATGGGATTAACACATTATCAAGGATAAGTCCTTGGATTCAATTATGGGTAAACGGATTAGTTGCCTTTTTTATGAGGTTTTAATTGTTCTTTACCGCCGAAAGTGCGGTATTCTAACGTTAGTTTATGGAGGGCTGGTCGGCCTAATGATGTGCACTTTGAAAATGACACAGTTCTGATCGTATATATAATTTTTTTTTTTTTTTTTAAATAATAAATAAAGCATACTCTGAAGCGTTCGGAGATGATGCTGAATAAAGGTACTTTTCTGGTTGTATTAGAATTGCATGAATTTTTCAGCTATAGGTGGTTTAACTGTATAAGAATGGACTGTTTCTTACTGTATGGTCCCCTTCAACCAAAATGGTTTGATCCATAACATGTTATGTCATTTTGCTAACAGTATAATGGCATTTTAAAGTATTGTGACGGAGATGACGACAATTCAGGGACAAACTTTTTTAGTCTAAAAAAGTCAAATTTTAAGTATTTATAGTTCTATTGATGTCATTTTTAATTTTACATTTGTAAGACATCTAT